CCATTTATGTCGTACCCTTGGAAAGTCGTTATAGTCGAAGATGGTGTCTTGGCCAACATGTACAGCTGATCTACAACATCATTGTCATTCATTAAATGTTTTCTCAACCAACTGCCGAAAGTCTCCATGTGGGCCTTCCTAATCCAGGATTCAGGCTTCCCCGGGTTGTCCGAGCGTAAAATATTCTTGTGTTTCTCAAAGTACGGAGCCACCAAGCTGGAATTGGTCAGTACAGTGTGGTGTGCTTCAGTCAGAGAATGGCCGTCCATACATATCGTTGATTTCCTTCTGATCGTGCCTTTTCCACTTAGTCTCCCCTCGTGCCGCGATCGAGGAAGACCAATCGGCTTAAGGTCAGGAACAAAGTCAACACAAAACTCAATTACCTCCTCATTTCCATAGCCCTTGGCGATGCTTCCTTCTGGCCTAGCACGGTTACGAACATATTTCTTTAATACTCCCATGAACCTCTCGAAGGGGAACATATTGTGTAGAAATACAGGACCGAGAATGAAAATCTCTTCGACTAGGTGAACCAAGAGGTGCGTCATAATATTGAAGAAGGATGGCGGGAACACCAACTCGAAACTAACAAGACATTGGATCACATCGTTCTGTAACCGTGGTAGATCTTCTGGATTGATTACCTTCTGAGAGATTGCATTGAGGAATGCACATAGCTTCACAATGGCTACTCGAACATTTTCCGGCAGGAGCCCCCTCAAAGCAATCGGAAGCAATTGCGTCATAATCACGTGGCAGTCGTGAGACTTCAGATTTTGGAACTTTTTCTCCGCCATGTTTATTATTCCCTTTATATTGGACGAGAATCCAGACGGGACCTTCATACTGCTCAGGCATTCAAAAAAGATGACCTTCTCTTCTTTGGTCAGAGCGTAGCTGGCACGACCTTGAAACCATTCCGGATGCCGGTCATCAGGGTCTTTCAAACGTTGCTGGTCCTGCCGTGCTTCCTTTGTATCATTTGTCTTCCCATACACGCCCAAGAAGCTTAGGAGGTTCACGCAAATATTCTTCGTAACGTGCATCACGTCGATTGCAGAGCGGACTTCTAGGACTTTCCAATATTCTAGCTCCCAGAATATAGATTTCTTCTTCCACATGGCTGCGTGCACGTCAGCTCCCTTCGGAACTGATTGTCCGCCAGGACCCTTTTCAAAGATGACTTTCAAATCCTTGACCATATCAAATACCTCAGCACCAGTGCGTTCCGCAGGCTTCGGCCGGTGATCTGCCTTGCCGTTGTAATGCTTGCCTTTCTTTCTTACTGGATGAATTTTCAGAAGAAATCGACGATGCCCAAGGTACACGTTCTTATTACAATTTGGCAAATGTACACTTTCAGTCTCATGTAAGCAGTGCGTGCATGCATTGTATCCCTTATTTGACAGTCCCGAAAGGTTACTAAGAGCAGGCCAATCGTTGATGGTTACGAAAAGCAACGCTCATAGGTTAAATTCCTCTTTTTTGTGCTCATCCCACACACGGACACCAGGTCTGCCCCACAGCTGTAAAAGTTCATCAACTAATGGCCTTAGGTACACATCGATGTCGTTGCCGGGTTGCTTCGGACCTTGGATGAGCACTGGCATCATAATGAACTTCCGCTTCATGCACAACCAAGGAGGAAGGTTGTAGATGCATAAAGTCACGGGCCAGGTGCTATGGCTGGAGCTCTGCTCGCCAAAAGGATTCATGCCATCTGTACTTAGACCAAATCTTATGTTCCTTGCGTCAGCTGCAAAATCTTTGAACTCTCTGTCGATCTTTCTCCATTGCGTTCCATCTGCGGTGTGTCTCAACTCCCCGTCCGACTTACGATCCTCTTTGTGCCATCGCAACAACTTGGCATGCTCTTTGTGCCTGAACAGACGTTTCAACCGTGGTATTATAGGAGCATACCACATCACCTTGGAGGGAACCCTCTTCCTGGGTTTCTCGCCCTCAACATCGTCACCAGGGTCATCGCCTCTGATCTTATAACGCAATGCAGTGCATACCGGGCATTCATTCAAATTCTCGTATTCACCGCGGTAGAGGATGCAGTCGTTGATGCATGCATGTATCTTCAGAACCTCTAAACCTAGAGGGCAGACAACCTTCTTTGCTTCGTACGTACTGGCGGGCAACTCGTTATTCTTTGGAAACATATTCTTCAACATTTTCAGCAAGTTTTCAAATGCCGAGTCAGCTACACCTGCCTGTGCCTTCCATTTCAGCAAATCCAGTGTGCAGCCCAGCTTTTTCAGACCATCATCGCATCCGGGGTACAACGACTTTCTGTGATCCTCTAACATGCGATCCAAATTCTCCCTCTCCTTTTCAGTTTCGCAGCGTCTCCGTGCATCAGCAATGGTCCGACCAAGATCATCAACGGTCTCATCACGTGCCTCTTCTTCACCTTCACCTTCAGCATCCTCCATGAAAGTATCACCGAAATGAGCAAGATAGCTTTCATCGATGAAACCATCCCCTTCTTCATCTTCTTCCATTATAACCCCTCTTCTCCATGCTTGGTCCAACAATTATAGCTTGGCATGAAACCGTGCCGAAGCAGGTGCAGGTGAACTTCTCTTGAGGAAGAGTAACCCTTCTGATTCTTACATTCAACACATGGACAGATAACAAAGCCCTTCTGCTTGTTCGCATTAGCCACTACAAGGAAATCTTTCAAACCCGTAGTGAACTTGCGGGAGAGTCGGTTACCGTACATCCATTGCCGATTCATCTGCATTATTATAATATAAAATATATAATTAACCATCATGCATTTGTTAAACTAACTAGCTATAAACAATAGAAATTAAACAATGAACAACACACATGCATATTTTATCAATGACACACATGCATGAAAGGTTCAAGTTGCTAACCGCGATCGAGGAGGAAAAAATAAATGAGGAACCTCAAGTGTGGCTCCAACACTTCATATCATGTTTATTTCACCCTCTTGGGGCATTTCATCAAACACCTTGTGTGCATAAGAGGAACCAAAAGCAAACCTACACCCCCTTGTGAAGCTTGTGAAGAGAAGTGGCACCAAATGGCTAAGTGAGCGTGCTGAACTGGTATATATAGGGGAGGAGCTTTAGTCGCGGTTGGCCTGGCCAACCACGACTAAAGCCTTTGGGCACCTTTAGTCGCGGTTGGCCTGGCCAACCGCGACTAAAGCCCCTCACGTGCACCAGCTGGCCACCGAGCGCCCTGGGCCCAGACCTTTGGTCGCGGTTCGTCTGCCGAACCGCGACTAAAGACTTCATTAGTCGCGGTTCCTACAGTTTCGCGACTAATGGGGCTGGACGGAAGCCTCTTTTTCTACCAGTGTCACACACCATGAAGAGAACAATTATATAATCTACCAATGATCATACCCGAAGTAATTATATAATCTACCAATGATCATACCCGAAGTATCTTTTGTTTGGACATAAAAAATCTTTGGAAGTATGTGCTCTGCTGCTAACAGAGATTAGGTTCACATACTACATTTTGGGACGAACATCATACTGTACTATCAGCAGCCAGCAACAAAAACAACATGCATTGTTGTTCCTCCAGATTAGATAGTCCTTCTTTATACCAAGAGATAGACTAACAATTATACTACTACTACAATAATTATGTCGAGAAAAATAAAACAAATCCAAATTACTAACACCAAATTGTACTGCTGACTCCAGTACAGAGTAACCTGCTGACTCTATTTACTAACACAAAATTGTACTGCTGACTCCAGTACAAATTACTAACAACGGGAAGACAGATCTTGACGACCACATTCGGGAAGACAAATCATGAAATAACAATTGATGCTAGTTCCTAGGAAACCCCAAGAAAAGTCTCGACCTTGACGACCACATTCCGGAAGACAGATCAATATTTGTCTAGGTTTTCATGGAGGGGGCAAATCAGTGCTGCTAGAGAGAAAGGCGGTGGGAGGGAGGGGGGGGGGCAGGAGGGAGAGAGAGAACTAACCAGAGATCTCCTCGCCTGCAGCAACCACTTCTCCGGAGCTAGGGTTTCGGCCGCGGGCCCGCGGCAAGGGGGTGGCAGGGGAGATGGGACAATCAGAGGCTAGGGTTCCGGCGGGCTTCGTGGCAGGTCGTCGAAGTAGGAGGCCACCCTCCTCCTCCGGGTAGGTTGCGCCGCCGCCGTCCACTCGTCCCCGCCGCCTCCTTGCCGCCACTTCTGTCGCTCGGGAGAGATGAGACGAGCGCCTCGCTCGGGGATTTCTTCCACGGGGTGCTAGTGGATGATTTTTTCCGCGTGGGTTTGGAGAGGTTTGGGCCGGGGAAATACAACGCGGGGCTTAACCGAACGAGAAAAACTGGATGGGCCGGGTTTATTCCCCGGCAGGGGTAATCCCTGCGGACCCGCGTGGATTGGACCCAAAACCTCGCCGGGCTGGGCGTAACCGAACAAGGCCTTAAAGAGAATCATTTGTTTTTACAGTGATGTAATCAAACAAACCAAAATTTTGTAGGATTCGTATGGTCAGGACATTGATCACCTTCTGCCCGTACTTACGCCTGTCTAGCGGCTGCCCGACCCGGTTGACTCCCCGCAGAGTGGCCAGTTGTCATCCTACGAACATGTGGCCAAATGTGTGCCAAAATGTCGTCGACTCTTGCAAAACAACGCGGATACAGGTGAGAAAATTCAAACTTGTGTTAAAATTAATATGATGATTACAACAAATTTTTACTGAAAATAAAAGGCAGTCAGACTGCCAGGAAAAAAAACTTCAATGGACTACTGTACTTTCTTATTATTCCCTATGCTGCTACTAATCTTTTCTAAGCCCCTTGTGCAAAGGTGTTAAATGGAGGCCATGTTTTGGCAGTCACGTCCATGTCCGGGCCTCCAAAAAAAATGAACAAACCTGACCCGAGACCTATGCACACACAGTCCAAAAAAGGATAAAAATGAACAAGAATCCTACTCCTTGATTTCGATGGGTGGCGTTGAGAATTCCCCGGTCAGAACATCACCGAGTGGCCGAAGAACATGTCGTCCCTCGGCTCGTCCTTGGTCCTCGAGGCGTCGTAGTACATCGCTTCGCTCTGCTGCTGCTGTGGTTGCTGCTGCTGATCCTGCATGCTCGCGTACGAGTACGACGGGTTGCCGAACCCGGACAGCGCGAACCCGCTCATCCCCGCGGGCGCGCCGCCGTCGTCGAGGCCGCCGAACCCGTCGGGGCGAAGACTGGAATAGCCGCCGGCGCCCTGCAGGTAGCTCGCGGCCGGCTGCAGCGTCGCGGCTCTGTACCGCGCTGCTGCGGCGGCGCTCCCGCGCGCGGCGGGCACGTCGTGGTTGTGCTTGCCCTCGTAGGTGGTGACCACGGCGCGCAGGTCCTGCGACGCGCGCTCCACGTGCTTCCGCACCGGGCAGTTGGGCGTCGTGCACTTGTAGTAGCTCCTGCCGAGAAGAGAAAGGCAAAGCCGTGCATGTCAGCTCACACGTGTCCAACATTCGTGCTTCATCTCAAGAAGTTCAGTAAACCATCAGCTCGAACGTACCTCGGGTTCGGGTTGCCCTTGACCACCTTCTGCCCGTACTTGCGCCACCGGTAGCCGTCGTCGAGGATGTCGATGTCGCTCATCGTCTGGACGACGACCCTTGGCTCCCGCACAGTCCGGTTACCGACGGCCATAACCGTCGCCTCGCCGTCGCTCCTCCATCTCTTGCAATCAGCCTCCTCGTCGTCGAACTGATCCTCACCGCCGCCGACGGCTCCGGCCAGCCTTGAGCTCACGCCGTTCGTCTCGTCGTCCCCGTAGGACGCCGACGAGTTCTCGGGCGTGCAGGAGAGCGCGTCGCTCGACGCGTCGTTGGCCCCGTGGCACTGCAGAGCGTACGACGACGACACCGCCGAGCCGGAGCCCCGGCGCGGGTTCTGCGGCTTGGGGTGGTTGTGCGTGCCCTTGTACACGATCTCGGTGACCTGGCCGTCGGGCGCCTGCTCCACCTTCTTCTTGGTGGGGCAGCCGGCGAAGGAGCACTTGTAGTAGCTGCGCGGGTTCTCGCTCCCCTTCATCTGCTTCTGCCCGTACTTGCGCCAGTTGTAGCCGTCGTCCGACGACGGCCGCCGGCTCTGCACGCGGTACCCGGCCGTCCCCGAAGACACCGGGACGCTGTAGGCGCCGTTCCCGAGCACGTCAGGCGCCGTCGTCGCCATGATGGTGGACGTCGTCGGCGGCTCGAATTGCGTGGTGAACTCCGCCGGCCTCGTGGCCCCGTTCATGCCCGTGTCTTGGTAGCTCCACGGTTGCTGTTGCTGCTGCTCGTATGAGTCTCCCACCTACAGTAGAACAATACATTAGAGATCATGTAGTACAAGTGCATGGGCACAATTGGTACAATGGTTTTGACTTGAGCTTAGAGTGTGACACCGCTGACTACAGTGTTTTAATTTCCAAATAATATTAAGAGATAATGCGTGTGTGCATTTCTTTGACATGACAAGCATAAAGGCATGTGAAGACAAGTCACAAATTGTGAACAAGTCAGGAGATGACACCAGTTTTTTTTTTTTTTTTGAGGAAATCGGTAAAAAAAAAGTATGTGGGGGTAGAAGTGTGGCAAACGCTGAGCGGGCCTCAATATTCTGAGTAGGCTTTTTTTTTTGAGCAAGGAGTAGGCTTAAATTATGTGGGGTAGAAATACCAAGAAAATATTATGAGTGGGCCTGAATATTCTAAACCAGAAGCCCGGGTCGTCTATCTATCAGTCAACTGTCAAAATGTCAGTGATCATGCTGGGTCTTTCAAAAAACTGTCAAAATGTCGTTCTCTTAACGAGTGACTTTGCATGCAGTTGATCATTGAGTCTTACCAGTTGAGCCATGGGCATGGACGACTGCAGGAAGGAGGACGCGGTCGCGGTGGCCGCCGGCAGCGGCGCCGTCGTCTGGAACGTGAAGCCGGAGTACTGCCGCTGCTCGTCCTGGCTGGCGCTTCCCTGCAGGCCGTCGTTCTCCGGCGTCCCCATCCAGTTGAACTGATGCGAGGGGAACGCGCCCGTCGTCGGCGATGCGAATAGCTGAAACAAGCACACCCACATCTGTCAGCTTCCATGTTTGGAATAAGCCACTTGCACCGTTGCACTGCACGCATGCGCGGCACGGCCGGAGGGATGATTACGATAAACTGCTCGATCGGTGCTTACGCTGGGGGTAAGGAGGACCGGCGAGTCGAGGAACCCGGAGGACATGTTGAAGTAGGACGACGGGGACGCCGGCGGGAAGGAGGAGGGCGGCGTCATGGCCATGGGTAACGACAGCCTTGATCCACCTCTGCCGCCAGCAGAGAACGAGGTGTTCGCGAAGGCGAGCGCGACAGGTCCCGAGTTGGCCAGCGCAGCACCGGAGCTAGCTAGCTAGCTTGCAGCCGTCGAGGTCACCGGTGGCGAGGGAGACGGCCGGAGAGGAAGAAGGGAGCAAAGAGCGCGCGCAGCTGGGAATGGGATCGATCGACGGTGATGAGATGACTCTCCGGACACGACCGGTTGAGGCCTATATAGAGGTTTGAATATTTGACCGTTGACCGGTCAAAGCAATGCTTCTTTGACTGGCGGCTACGACCAGCACATTGGTTAGAAAGATACACACCAGTGGGAGTGCGCGCTGTCGCTGATGTGGCGGGTGGTGGGGCTTCTTTGGAGGGGGCTGTGCGGAGGCGGGTACAGTTTTGGGTGGGCGGAGGGAGTGACGGCCGTGGATCGTTTGTCTGACTACTTCTTGTCGACTGGGATCATGGCCAAGGACCAACCACAATGCGCTCATTGGGTTAGTTATATATAAATTAAAATTAAGCCATATCAGTGCAGTGGCTTTGCGGCGACTGGGAGACTTGCCTTGCGAGCGTTAATTAAAGCTTGTTTTGCGGGGAGTTAATCAAGTTTTGTTAAACAAAACTATCAAAAATGTTTAGTGAAATGAACTCTTGCCGCTACAAAACAAAACATTAAAAGATGTTGGCTCATTCTCGAATTTTGGATCTCCCGCTTACAAATTAAAATGTACTCTCCAAAATTAATGTCTTCCGGACACCGATACTTCCTGAATTTGTCGTCGGGACGGATTCAACGTAGCTCCAGAGTAGATTCCTTTGTTTTTGAGGTACAAGAGTAACAAGTTTACTCTTCAGCCAACACAAAGTCGGCGATCAGGTCACCCAACAGGTCGTCCGGTACTCCCGGCATACATAGAAGATCTCCCATCGTCCTAGCACGGCCAGCCAGTAAATGGGCCATCTTGTTCTTCTTCCTGTTAGCATACTGAACATTCACCATGCTAAAATTAGCAAATTCCTGTTTGATATCCTCGATCACTGGAAAGCACGCCGACAAACACCCGCCGCCCAAATTCAGCATATCCGCCAAGGCTTTGCAATCCGTCTCCAGTATGAGGGGACCATGGTGCAGCTCCGACAACACCTTCAGGCTGGCTAGGATTGCTTGTGCCTCAGCCTCATCAACAGAATGGCAGTGCCCCCCTCGTTCGGAAAGAGAGAAGAGAGCCATACCCCGATGATTGCGAGCGATTGCACCGACCTGAGAGGACCCATTAGCAGCCAAAAATCCTGCATCCGTGTTAAGTTTAACAGTGCCCGCCTCTGGGGGATCCCACTAAACAGATGCAGGCGCCTCCGACTCCCCCCCTGTGTACCCACCCTTGGCCCATGAGCAGCCTCACGTCCTACCTGAACTAGAGCAATTTTGCCTTTAGGATCAGGTACACTCCCAGCCTCACACTTATGGAGATCCTCCTCATACTGTAACAAGAATGCTGAGGATCGACATATGGACTCCTTTCCTGTATTGTGGATGCAGTCGTCACGAAGAAACCAGTAGCGCCAAAGTAGTAGCAGGACTCTCGTTCTGGTATCCTGTTTGCAAGGGCCAAGCAGGTTCTGCAGCCAGTCCTCACCCGTGTTCCTAAAGAATCCCTCGCCCGGTAGGTCCTAGTGATTCCTCATGGCCTGTCGCAGACCTCTGCTCTTCGTGCAGGCTACGACAGCGTGGAATTCATCCTCCTCGCACGCCCCACATATGTTACACGTGCTATCAGTTTCCTCGCACGCTCCAGAGTAGATTCCTGTCGTCTCCTTGGAACGATAAAGTTAGGATTCCACGTTGCGCATGCGTAATGGCGAGATTTGAAGGAAATATGCCATAGAGGCAACAATAAAGTTATTATTTTATATTTCCTTACTCATGGTAAATGTCTATTATTCGTGCTAGAATTGTATTAACCGAAACTTGATACCGTGTCCCTAGTATACCTCTACTAGACTAGCTCGTTGATCAAAGATGGTTAAGTTTCCTAGCAATGGACATGTGTTGTCATTTGATGAATGCTATCACATCATTAGGACATTAGGAGAATGATGTGATGGACAAGACCCATTCATTAGCATAGCATAATAATCGTCTAGTTTTATTGCTACTGCTTTCTTCATGTCAAATACACATTCCTCCGACAATGAGATTATGCAACTCCCGGATACCGGAGGAATGACTTGTGTGCTATCAAACGTCACAACGTAACTGGGTGATTATAAAGATGCTCTACAAGTTATCTCCGAAGGTGTTTGTTGGGTTAGCATAGATCGAGATTAGGATTTGTCACTCCGAGTATCGGAGAGGTATCTCTTGGCCCTCTCGGTAATGCACATCATATGAAGCCTTGCAAGCAATGTGACTAATGAGTTAGTTGTGGAATGATGCATTACGGAACGAGTAAAGAGACCTGCCGGCAACGAGATTGAACTAGGTATGAAGATACCGACGATCGAATCTCGGGCAAGTAACATACTGATGACAGTGAATAGCGTATGCTGTCATAGTGGTTCGACCGATAAAGATCTTCATAGTATATGTGGGAACCAATATGAGCATCCAGGTTCCTCTATTGGTTATTGACCGGAGAGGTGTCTCGGTCATGTCTACATAGTTTTCAAACCCGTAGGGTCCGCACGCTTAACGTTCGACGATGATATGTATTATATGAGTTATGTGTTTTGGTGACCGAAGGTTGTTCGGAATCCCGGAGGAGATCACGGACATGACGAGGAGTCACGAAATGGTCGAGAGGTAAAGATTGATATATTGGAAGGTAGTATTCGGATAACGGAAGTGTTCCGGAATGTATCGGTACATATCGGAGTACCGGGAGGGTTACCGGAACCCCCCGCGGGAAGATATGGGCCATAGGAGGGAGGCACACCAGCCCACAAAGGGATGGCTCGCCCCCACCAGGGAGGATTCTGAATTGGACAAGGGAAGGGGGCGGCGCCCCCCTTTCCTTCTCCCCCTCTCTCCTTCCCCCTTTCCCCCTTCGGTAAAAGGAAGGGGGACCTGAATCCTACTAGGACCCCAAGTAGGACTCCTCCTACTTGGGGGCGCGCCTAGGGTCGACCTCCTCTCCCTTCCTCCTTCATATACGCGGGTGGGGGGGGGGCTAGAACACACAACAATTGTTCCAAGCCGTGTGCGGTGCCCCCTCCACAGTTTACGTCTCCGGTCATATTCTCGCGGTGCTTAGGCGAAGCCCTGCGCAAATCACATCACCGTCACCACGCCATCGTGCTGACAGAACTCATCTACTTACTCGATCCTCTGCTGGATGAAGAGCTTGAGGGACGTCATCGCGCTGAACGTGTGCAGAACTCAGAGGAGTCGTAAGTTCGGTACTCGATCGGTCGGAACAAGAAGACGTTCGACTACATCAACCGCGTTAAGCAAACACTTCCGCTTTTGGTCTATGAGGGTACGTAGACACGCTCTCCCCGTTTCGTTGTTATGCATCTCCTAGATAGATCTTGCGTGAGCGTAGGATTTTTTTTGAAATTTCATGCTACGTTCCCCAACAGTGGCATCCGGGCTAGGTCTATGCGTAGATGATATGCACGAGTAGAACACAAAGAGTTGTGGGCGGTGATTGTCATACTGCTTACCACCAATGTCTTATTTTGATTTAGCGGTATGAAGCGGCCCAGACCAACCTTACATGGACACGTTCATGATACCGATTCCACCGATAGACATGCAACTAGTTTTGCATAAAGGTGGTTGGCGGGTGTCTGTTTCTCCAACTTTAGTTGAATCAAATTTGACTACTATCGGTCCTTGTGAAGGTTAAAACAACAAACTTAATAAATCACCGATGTGGTTTTGTGCCATAGGTAAGAACGGTTCTTGCTAGAAGCCCATAGCAGCCACGTAAAACTTGCAACAACAAAGTAGAGGACGTCTAACTTGTTTTTGCAGGGCATGTTGTGATGTGGTATGGTCAACACATGATGTGATATACGTTGTTGTATGAGATGATCATGTTTTGTAAAAGTTATCGGCAACTGTCAGGAGCCTTATGGTTGTCGCTTTATTGTGTGAAATACAAAGGCCATATAATTGCTTTAGTTTATCACTAAGCGGTAGCGATAGTCGTAGTATCAATAATTGGCGAGACGACCACGACGCTACGATGGAGATCAAGGTGTCAAGCCGGTGACAATGGAGATCATGACGTTGCTTTGGTGATGGAGATCAAAAGCACAAGATGATTATGGCCATATCATGTCACATATTTTGATTGCATGTAATGTTTATCTTTATGCATCTTATTTTGCTTAGTACGGTGGTAGCATTATAAGATGATCCCTTAACTAAATTTCAAGGTATAAGTGTTCTCCCCGAGTATGCACCGTTGCGGAAGTTCACATCATCTTGATACATATAACCATTAGAAGTTTTTGAATTCTGAATGAATAAAATCTCCCCAAGTAGGATTCTAACCTACGACCAGCCAGTTAACAACCAACCAGCCCTAGGTTGGGGATAATGAGTTTTTCAAATCATGTAGGGAGATGCTTCGCTCCGAGTCATTTATATTCGTAAGAAAGAACTCCCACACGTGCTGAGACACCACGTGATGATCGGGTGTGATAAGCTCTACGTTCAAATACAACAGGTGCAAGCCAGTTTTGCACATGCGGAATACTCGGGTTAAACTTGACGAGCCTAGCATGTACAGACATGGCCTCAGAATACTAGAGACCGAAAGGTCGAACGTGAATCATATAGTGTATATGATCAACATAGAGATGTTCACCATTGATGACTACTCCATCTCACGTGATGATCGGATATGGTTTAGTTGATTTGGATCACGTATCATTTAGATGACTTGAGGGATGTCTATCTAAGTTGGAGTTCTTAAGTAATATGATTAATTGAACTTAATTTATCATGAACTTAGTCCTGCTAGT